CTAATCTTACTGTAACCTAATTATTATTTGTTCTTATATTTATCTGACCTAATTCTGATTTGGCCTAATTTTACTATTTCCTAATTGTTATTTGTTTTAATATTAATTTTAACATACTTCTTAATTGGCCTAATCTAAATGTAACCTAATACTTTTTTTGCCTAAACTTTATTTGTTACCCATTCATGAACGTAAATAATAAGTGAGAAAAGAACAAAAATATGATTTGTCACTTACTCTATCAGGATTCGCGTTCGTGAGCGGGTGACTAATAAAATTTAGCCCAGGTGAGAATTATATATTATGTTAAATGAGAATTAGATTATATTAAGATTAGGCGAATAGAGAATTAGATTAGGTTAATATTAGGATATAGTAAAATTAGGTTAAATGAGAATTAGGTCATGTAAATATTAGAACCAATAATAATTAGGTTATAATATGATTAGGCCAAATTGGAATTACGTTTTATAAAGATTAGATTAAATTAAAATTGATTTAATCAGCGATCCTAAAGTTTCAAACAATGCAGCACTATAAAAATTCTATTTTTATTTGTAGAATTCAAGAAAACCATAATAATTACCGTGACATATATTTAAAAATTTCAAGTACCTTAAATTATCTTATTCGATGATTAATGCTTGATACTAAAAATAATGAGGCTTTTTATTTATATAGTGTCTGAAGTGTTTTCATTTCATAGTTGAAAAAATCTTTTAGCTTTTTATCGTCTCTGGACCAGGTAGGTAATAATAACGAGGTTCTTGAAGTCAAGTTAAGGATCATTTGAACATCCTTGAGTTTGGTGCAGATAGTATATATATATATATGTATACAGCATCCTTTAACAAAGGTTTTCGACCCTCATTTTGAGTCAATGCTTGTTGTTGGACGCCTCAACGAATTCCAATGCAGGTCGAGACACGTTGCTCTCATTCTCTTATTCCTTGCTGTATCTTCCTTCCATTTTCTCTCTTCTTCATCTTTAGAAAAAGAGTAATGTACAGAAATCACTGTCTACTCCAGAATCTATATATACATGCTATCCTTTCCCAAATCACGCCTCAGTGAGAAGGAAAAAAAAATCATATAAACGACAGTGTTCATAAAATGATAAATCTGCAATGTAGTTTAAAGAGGATAATGGATTTTTCAAAATTTCACCAATTTTTAAATATTTTTTTTTTTCATTAATTTATTTTTTGTATGTTCTTTTTTTTGGTTATTTCATTCAATGTATTTGCATATTAAAATAGATTAAAAATTTAAAAGCATCTAAAAAAAATCTCCTTTAAAATTTAAGAGAATCAAAAATTCATATATACGTATATAGCGTTGATGTCAAATAAATGTGAGCAATATCGATTTGTTTTTATCTGTGACTATGGATGTAGTTACAATGCAGATTACTTGGCAGAATTTAAAAAAAAAAGTTTTAAAAAAATAAACTGAATTTTTCATGACATCAAAAATACATTCGATATTTTATTTACACAATTCTCGATCAACTTGAGAATATGACAGCTATCAAATTGATATGCAGATACCATGAAGTGAACATACTCGTAAAAATACTCGATATGTTGTAAACTTGTTAAATTTTATTTTCTTTTGTTTTATTTTTATAAATTTCACAGTGTAACAAAAAAAATTTTATTAACATTTTTCCTTTTTTTTAATTATAAAATTAATTATGAAAAATAAAGAAAATTGTGTGATTTTCACATGATCTTTGTTCGGTTGAATTTTTTGTTTTAAAATAATTCAGAATATTATATAAAAAATAAAAACTTCTTTATTTTATATATATTCTTTTTAAATGAATGAGATTTAAATTGTAAATAAATTATTTGACATTAAAAATCTATAAAATATAGAATTCATAATAAAATTAATACAATTTTATTATAAATGAATAAGTTAAAATATTTATATAGTTGAGATAAGTAAAGTATATTATTCAATTAAATTCTATTGATTTTATTTTTAAAATAATTTATGTTATATTTATTTATCATATTTCATTACTATATAATATTTATAATAAATTTGATTTATAAATACTTTAATGAATTAAAATATTTGAATAATAAATTAAACTAATATATTATTCAATTAAATTCTATTGATTTTATTTTTAAAATAATTTATGTTATATTTATTTATCATATTTTATTACTATATATTTATAATCAATTTGATTTATAAATACTTTAATAAATTAAAATATTTGAATAATAAATGAAACTAATAAACTAATTAAACTAAAATTTAATATTTTTTAATCAGCCAACGATATTTCTCTTCAGGAGTGTTCAAATTATGAAGTTCTAATAATTAATTAAAAAAAAATTAAATTAACTATTTTTTACAAGGCAGCAAAAACCCAAAAAATGCAAAAAAAAAGGTAAAATACATGTTTAAAAGTGTTTCAAATGATTTTATCGATATTTTTCGCAAAGGTTATATTTTTTACCGATTAAAAATTTGTTTAAAAAAAAGTTGTTAAAAAAATTGATTAAACAAATTATTGTTATTTTTTCAAAATAAAGATATAAAGTTGCAGTTTTTTCTGAATATTACAACTTACCTTCTTGACTTTACCATACAATCAGTAGAAAGTGATTGTCAAAAATTAACAATAAGATTTGTTTAAACAAATTATTATAGTTATTTATTAATCTTTTAAACATAAACTTATGAACTTGGAGTTTTCTCTCAATTTTACATCTTTCGTAGCCGCGGATGCAGTTATTATATGTTATTAGTGATTAAAAATTCTCCAAGCGTAGGATTAATATTTGTTTAAACAAATCATTGTTTTTATTTATTTATTATCTAAAATAACACTTAAAACACTAGTTGTTTTTTCTGAATTTTACATCTTTGCTGACTACCATCACCAAAACAAATTAACTCTAAGTTCAGAAGTATATGTAATTTTAATTTTAATATAAAAATAATAATTAAATATACAAAATATTAAAATTTTGTAATAAGGTGTTCTTCCTAACGCATAAAGTCCTACATAAAATCCTGTATAGGATCTCATGTAAGAATTCATCATACAGGAATATATATAAAAATCCATGTAAAATCTTATGTATATCCCTAGGAGATCCATAGGATATCCATATCAATGGTCGATATCTTAGAATGGTCCCCAAGATATCTTGGGATATCCATAGGATATCCAAACCGCCGGTCTGTGGGGCATCAACAGGACATCCACAAAATATCTATTGGATATTATATCGCAGGATATCCTCAGTATGTCCGTGGGATATTCTTAGGATATTCACGGGATATTTAATATCTCAACATATATTTTTGAAGGTTAAAATTGTTAAGCTAATATAATGAATAATAACATAATAAAAACAAAAATCTTATGAGCTTCTAATTTATTTTAAATGAAGATTTGAAACGCATTTTTCAAAGTTTTTAAATAAACTCATACACTTAATGTATAATTAATATTAATAGTTATTCGTTATTTGCGGGGAAGAATTTATATTGTTTAAAGCCAATTTATTTTCTGACAATATTAAGCATATGAATAAAGGAATGAATCACGAATGAGAAAAAAATTAGTTAATAATTTTTCAAATTAAACAACTTTTTTATTTATTTTATTTATATAAAATTTAATTCACAGAATATTCTCACTCGTAGTCTCATAATGACTTTAAAAACAGTATCCTGAGAATATCTTCTTGACATCCAGAAGATATACTGAGAATATCCTGAAAATATCTGTGGGATATCCTGACGATATTTATGGGATATCCGGACGATATCTATGGGATATCTGGAGGACATTTACGAAAGTCTATAGAGATATCCAGAAGATATTCTGTGGATATCCTCAGATATCCAAAGGATATCCAAACCGCCGATTTTTTGGATATCTTTAAGAGATCCTTTTGATATCCATAGGACATCCTTAGGATATCTGTGGGATATTATCAATATATCCCAAGATATCTTGTGTTATTAGGGTAGCTAAGCAAATTAATTAATGAACCAAATTTAATTTCTTTTTATCTTGAGATGTTCTGGCATTACAACTTTAATTGTTCATCCTTTTTTTTTGTTCTTCTACTGTATCTCAAGTGCATGCTGGATATGAGTCCATAAAAGCTGCTTATCACAATAATACTTGATAAGCCTTTTGGCTGCATATATAGTATAGAGGAAATAGAGAGCAAAAAAAGGTGACGAAAAGGAGAAATTCTCAAAGTTTACTTGTGTTGGTATAAGCGCAAGTGTACATGTATAGGTTATATATAGAGGAGCCCAAGTACTTGAAAGGATTTAGCAAAGTCCGACCATAAAGAGTAAATTACGATGCTGGTCTCGTTTCATAGCCAACCATGCCTTGCGCAACGGACATGGAAATGGTAGATGCGTTGCGCTTTCGGCTTTAGACATGCCAAATAAACTGGGATACAACTACTACATACACACACACACATATAATATACGTATACAATTCACTAAAAACGAAATAAACACAAAGGAATGAGACACGGTACATTTGCATATCAGTGAATGCAATGAAGAAATGTATAAACTATTTTAACTGTGGCCTATTGTTGTAAAAACCGTTCAGTTTATTAACACGTGCACTTTGGGAGACGTGTACTTCTTATTGTATTAAAAATTACGATAGATATCAATTTTCAAACGAAAAGAAAATTATTTTCCCGTTTATTTAAAAAAAAAAAATATTTTTTTAACTTATTAAAATTTATGTTTATGGTTAACAATTATTTATTATAATAAATAAATTATTTATTTTATGTTCCTTTATACTATTTATTAAATATTAAAAATCCATCACAACCTATTTCTTGATTTAATGTTTATGAAAAAAATGAATAAATTATTAAAAATTCATCTGAATAAACATAAATTATATTAGAAATTAAACTGAATAAATTTTCGAAATATAATAAATAATGTTATCTGACATTGAAAATATAAAAAGAAATATTTTCTCAAAAATGTACAGTTTTTTTTTTTAATGAGTTGAGAATTAGTTTCACTTTAATATAGTGCTGACAACATGTCTGTGATAAATATAATTTTAATTTTGTTTATAGGATTTTTTCAAAGTATTTATGGTACGAAATATATATATATATATATATATAAAAGTATAAATAAATGCTAAAAAAAATTCGTAATATATATTTAACATTCCCGTATATAATTTTTAAATATTATTTACATTAAGGTAAATATGGTTTCGGCGGTGAACAAGAATGGGGTTTCGTGACTGTTAGGCCAGGTGCAAATATGTTTTATTGGCTATATTATACAACTGCTAATGTTACTTCATATACCGAAAAACCTTTATTAATTTGGTTAGAGGGTGGTCCAGGAATACCATCAACAGGTTATACAAATTTTCAAGAAATTGGTCCTTTAACTTTAAATTTAACAACAAGAGACAACTCATTGGTGAGAAATATTTTAAATATAAATAAATATTTAAAAAAATTTTATTCTACAAGTTTGTGAAAATAAAATATAAAGAAATAAGAGTTTTTCAATTTCGGAGACTGATTTGGAAGAAAAAAAATCAAATATATGACGCTTTACGATGAAAGGGACGTTAGCTGAAAAAAATTTTAGGTTATGTTCAGTGATATTTTTACCTTGATAAAACGTTCATTTTTAATTATAAAAAATCAAAATCAGTTTTAAATATTTTGGATCTAATGAAATTTAAACATCAGTAGTTTTTATATTAGGAGTTGATACTCTTTATGTAATCACAAACATAACCTAAAATTTTTTGCAGCTAAATAATAAGATTCATTTCTAAATTGACATTTCGTTTTAAATATGTAAAAAAAATTGTTCAACAGGTTAAAGATTACAATATACTTTTCATTGATAGTCCAGTGGGAACTGGCTTTAGCAATGTAAATACAGAAAATAAACTTGCAAGAACAGAACAACAAGTTATAAATGATCTTATTATTTTGATCGAACAATTCTTCATGAAATTTTCCATTTTATCCAAAGTACAAACATATATTGTTGGCACGTGTTATGGGGGAAGGACAGCTGCTGCTTTGGCTTACGAATGGATTCAGGTAAAAAAATTATTATTATATAAAAATTATATAAAAAATTCTTTTATTTTAAAATTAATTTTTGAAATTTTTTTATATTATTTTGAACGATTTCTAGGTTTTATTTAGTTATTTTTATAAATTCAAATATTATAATTTATGAAAAAAGTCAATACGAATACAACCGTAAAATTCAAGGTCAAATGATAAGACCATATGTTCAAAAACAAACATAACCTACTTTGTGAGATTATTTATATTTTAAATACATTACACGTTTTTATATATCTAACTTATATTTTATTTAAGATTATTACATAAATACATTGAACAAAAAATTTATTTGATTCAAATAATAATCGGTTACTTGACTATTATCAAATAAATATTTATTTGTATCAAATAATTCGCTGGGTTAGTGGAAAAAAAGGATACGTCCGTTTGATTTAACTATGACGTGTCCTTTTTTCCAATAACCCAGCGAATTGTTAATTGAGATGGTATTAGTATACAGAAATTATTGTTTCAAATACAGTTTATTTATTTCAAATAAAAATTATTTGATTCAAGTAAATATTTATTTGATAATAGTTAACCCCTTCGCAGTCGAGTAGAAAAATCGTTTGTGGGACCAAAATGGTAAAAGAAAAAGTTTACAAAAAAATTTTATATCATCATATTAAAGGTTTCTGGGGTCGCTGAATCCGAATTTGAGGTCAGATTTAAAAAATTCAAAATGGCGGACCCAATATGGCCACTTAATATAGCAGAAAAAATTTAAAATTGATTCGATTCGTTCAAAATTCGGTACTTGGAGTTTTTTGGGTCGCTGAATCCAAATCTGACCTCAAATTTTGATTCAGCGACCCCCAAAAACCCTTAAGTACCGAATTTTGAACGAATCGAATCAATTTAAAAAAATTTCCGCCATATTGAGTCCGCCATTTTGAATTTTTTAAATCTGACATCAAATTTGGATTCAGCAACCCCAGAAACCCCCGAGTACCTAATTTTGAACGAATCGAATAAATATTAAATTTTTCCGCCATATTGGGTCCGCCATTTTAATTTTTTTAATTCTGACCTTAAATTTGGATTTAGCGACCCCAAAAACTCTACAGAAACCATTTTTATGAAAATCAAGTCAATTTTTTGGACGCCATATTGGGTCTGCCATTTTGAATTTTTTAAATCTGACATCAAATTTGGATTCAGCAATCCCGAAAACCTTAGTATACACATTGACACTCAATTCTAATTATGTTAAGTATTTTTTTTCAAATGTTGACATATATGTCCAAAATCACAAAGATGGCACGACTTTTTTTGGACATATATGGGCCATTGACAAGCAAGGGGTTAAGTAACCGCAATTATTTGAATAAAATAAATTTATTTTCCATTGCAGTATATAAAAACACTTAAGAATAATTTTGAAAAATCTCGCATACATGGGGGATCGAACCCAAGACTCTTGGAATACAAGCTGTGTACTCTTGCCACACAACCACTTTGACTTATAGATCTTTTACCTAACACACTTCTTCTTCTAAAATTATCTTTTAATGTACTATCTTTTATTTCTGATTACAAAATAAGTATATTATTTTTAAATTGTTGCATTAATAGTTTATAATTTATTAAAAAAAAATAATAAAATACATTTTTTCAAATGGTTTTTTTTCGTAATCTTGAGAAAATTGTTGTTTCAGTGTAATTTTCATTTTATTATAATTATTAATATTATTCATATTATTAGTCAAATACAGTGTCAGGCTGTAGTTTTATATATGAAAAATAATGTTTACTATGAAAATAGTAAAATAATGTGTTTATCATAGTTTATTCAGCAGCCACTTGCTCGAATTAGCGCTGTTATTTATATTATTCTTCGGGAAATATTTCACTAAAACTAAACCTCTTCAAGGTTATAAGTATCAAAACAAAACGAATTAGAAATATAAAAAAAAATAAATAAAAATTAGATTCTATGAATTTTTTAATGATACTATAATAAAATATACAATTAAAATACCACAACATAATATTTTTATTTTTCAAAATTTATAGAAAATAGAAAAAGGTTGGAATATTACTAATTTGAAAGGAGTTGGACTTTCAAGTGCTTGGATTTCGCCAGTTGATTCTGCCCTAGGATGGGCACCGTATCTATATCAAAATGTAATAAATTTTTATTTCCTGTTTTCTAAACAATAATAGAGAAAAGGCGACTGCAATGCCCTCTATTATTTAATAATATTTGTTAATCTTAAAAATAACATTTTTTCTTAATAAAACTTTAATCTCAATAGGGAATTGTCGATGATAAAGGATACAAGGCAATTATGAATTTAACAAAACAAATAAAATATAAAATTAAAACAAAAGACTGGAGAGATGTTTACGATCTTTTTATTAATACTATCAATGAAATTCCAAAATATGTAGGAAATGTAAACTTATATAATATTTTCTCGAGAGTTAATAATCACCACTTTTATGCTTATTATGCTGAAGGTAATTATCACAGAAAAATTATTTCTAAAATTATTTATGAATTTTTCCCTTACACTTTTTTTAACATCTAATCCAAATTCCATTTCCTCTTTAACTTTTTCTACTTACAATTAGAAAAAAGTTAAAATAGAAATGGAAGTATAAATGAAATTTGGAAAAAGTGGAAATGGAAATTAAAGTGTTAATGAAAATTTGAAAAAGTGGAAGCGGAAATGATAGTGAGACTAGAAATTAGAAAAAGTAGGAGTGAATATTGAAGTGGGAATGGAAATTATGAAGTGTGAGGAAATTCGCAATAAATATTAGATGCGAAATAAAAGTGGCAGTGGAAATTAAAAAAAGTCGAATTGAAAATGGAAGTGGGAATCGAAATAAAAAATGGGAATGGCAGTGGGAGTTGAAATTAGAAAAAGTGGAAGTGGAAATTGAAATAGGAGGGAATTTGCAAAAAATAAAAGTTGATATGAAAGTGTCAGTGGGAATTAAAAAAGTGGAAGTGGAAATTGAAGTGAGGGTGGAATGTAGAATAAATGAAAATAGAAGTGGAAATTGGAAAGGAATTTAGAAAAAGTAAAATTGCAAATGGAAGTGGAAATGAAAATTGGAAATGGTAATGGGAGTAGAATTTAGTAAAAGTGTAATTAAAAATGTAAGTGGGAATGGAATTTAGAGAAAGTGGAATTGGAAATGAAAGTAGGGGTGGAACTCAGAATAAGTGAAAATGGAAGTGGGTAAGGAATTTAGAAAAAGTGGAATTGGAAATGAAAATTAGAAAAAGTGAAAATGGTGATAGAAATAGGAGTGGAAATTAGAATAAGTGGAAGTGGAAATGATAGTGAGACTGGAAATTAAAAAAAGTAAAAGTGAATATTGAAGTGGAAGGGAATTTGCAAAAAATGGAATTGGAAATGTAAGTGAGAATGATAGTGGGAGTGGAATTTAGAGAAAATGGAATTGGAAACGAAAGTGGGAATGGAAATAAAAAATGGGAATAGTAGTGGGAGTTGAAATTAGAAAAAGTGGAGGTGGAAATTGAAGTGGGAAGGAATTTGCAAACAATGGAAGTTGAAATGGAAGTGGAACTGAAAATTAAAAAAGATGCAACTTAAAGTGGGATTGGAAATTGAAAAAAGTATGAATGGAAGTAGGAATGGAAATTAGAAAAATGAAAAAAAATATCACGTGGAAATTTTTGAAATATACCGAAAAAATTAAATTTCTATTCCATTAGATATTCATAAACACATTATGAGAAAGGGAATTTTTACACGAATAATCGGAAAAACAACATTAAAAAAATATAATGTAAAAAATAACAATTTTTATGTTTTGTACAATATAACTTTTTTATGAAAATTCTTGTGTAGTTTTGATACCGACTCAAAATTGTTGCGTTTACATTAAAATTGTAATGAAAACAAAAAACTTGTTTTGACGACAAATCAGAGATTTGTTTATCCTGTTATTAAATTTAACAATTCCTTTTTCTCCCCTAAATTTGTAGAATGGCAGAAGTTTTTTCAATTCTATCAAGTTCATATTTTCAGATAATAATGCAATGAAGATTTTAATGGAATCGAAAGTAAAATCAGCGCTTAATTTACCGGAAAACAGTTATTATGAACCAGATTTAGAGACTATTAATAAACGCCTAGCAGTGAAAATAATGAAACCTATTACCAAAAAAGGTAATATATATATATATATATATCCAATGCCCAATCTCTCAAATAAATTATCGAAATTAATGTATATTATTAAAATTCTTTTAATTATCTTTTGCAGTTGAATATCTTCTAAATCAAAATAATTTTAAAGTATTTGTATTTAATGGACAATTTGATTTAATTGTCAATAGCCAAGGTAAAGTATTAATTTGATTTAACATTATCTGAATAAAAGTGGCAGTCCTTTAATTGTAAATATTACAATTAATACATTTTTTAATTCCATATCAGGTACATTTAAATGGGTTAAAAATCTCTCGTGGAATAATTCAGCTGAATGGTTAGCAGCTCGTAGAGAACCATTAATAATAAATGATTTTATTGAAGGTTACGTGAAGAGTTACGGAAATTTGAGGATGTACTGGGTCAATAGAGCTGGCCATGCGGTAAAATAATTATATCATTAAAATATAAAAAAAGAGATATTCTTTTTTTTCTTATTTAGAAATTATCGTTTTTTTTTACAGACATTTGTTGACAATCCTGTTGCTGTAAGAGAAATATTACACCGGCTTACTGACGATGATAATAACGATGATTTATTTAATTATGCCAATTTAGAAAGATTTATAAATTCTCTTCAATCACAGAAAAAAAACTAAACTTAGAATGAGTTGTGTAGGCGGCTCATTTTGATGTGCAACAAAAATGAGACTAAGTTTTTTTATAAAACCCTAACAATGTATTTTAAGGAATATCAAAATAAATTGAATACGATTAATTCTAACAAATTCTCAATCTTAATAGTATACGACTAACTTATAATTTGTTTATCTATAGAATTATTAGTAAACAAACGTTAGATGTAGAATATGTAACTTTATGGAGGGACAACTTAACTCAAGTTTTAACCGCAACTAAGTCTATGGTTCTGCAGGATGTCGAAAGAGAGGATCAGGAACAAAGGGGTAGTAACCATTAAACTTGAAATTACCAGATAATTAATATGCAACCTAGGCCCTTTACTCAACGCCCCACACACCGTGAAACTAAGTCAATACGTAACGCAATTACTTGTCAACGTAGTCTCTGATGCTCTTCGAGTGCTTCAGCGTTGTCGTTAACTCGCTTGTACATGTTAATGTGCATTATTTTACCAGATTGTCTATTCATAAAAGTGAGAGTACATTTTTTTATTATTTTAGTGACATACGTTCTTTTCAATTGAGAATTTTTAAAATTTATTTAAGTGATTAGCCCAATTAAAAATTTTATTGGTATTTAATTTTCAAAAACTGATTCAACTTTTAATTTTATAGTTAATTAAATTAATACTTTACTAGTCTTTAAATTAGATTAATTGGAAAAATTTATCAGGTAATTATTGATATATATTCATTAGGGTGTCTGTAACAAATAGAGCTATATTCCCAAGCCCTGTGTTAACATCTAGTACTAAGCATGTTTCTTGGATTAGCGAGATGCAGGTGTGCAGTTTAAGTCATCAACACTGAAGAAGCGCCTTTACTGAAAGATGCATGTTAATCTGTATAATAGTAAGCTTACAAGTAGACATTATGATTGTAGTCATTATGATTGCTGTACACTTCCAACACTTTATCCGCATTATTGCGACGATCCTAAGAGTTAGCTATGCAAAATTATAATCTGTTGGCTAGACCCCTTAAAAAGGTAAGGAAACTATGATGTTAAATTTTATTTATTTGTATGATGTAATTCCATTTCCATTCCCACTTCCACTATTTCTAATTTTCATTCCCACTTCAATTTCTACTTTTTCTAATTTCCCCTCTCACTTCCATTTCCACTTTTTAACATTCGTTCTCACATCCATTCACATTTCCACTTGTACTTTTTCTAATTTTCATTCCTACTTAAAAAAATAGATAATATAATTATTGTAATTTTTTTATTACCTAATTATTTATCAAAATTTTTAAAAACAATAATTTTAATAATATAAATAACATTACTTATGTTTTCAATTTGAATAAAAAGAAGAATTCAGAAAAAGTGGAAATGGAAATGTGAGTGGAAATATAAAAGTGGAAGTGGGAATGAAAATTAGAAAAAGTGGATGTGGAAATGAAAGTAGGAATGAAAATTAGAAAAAATGGAAGTGAAAAAGGAAGTAGGAATGAAAATTAGAAAAAATTGAAATGGGAGTTGATGTGAGAAAATTGCAAGTGGGAATGAAAATTAGAAAAAGTAGAAATGAGAAAAAGTGGAAATGGAAGTGGGAATAAAAATTAGAAAAAGTGAAACTGGAGATGAGAGTGGAAATGGAAGTGGAAATGAAAATTAGAAAAAGTGGAAGTGGAAATGGAAGAGTGAATGAAAAGTAGTAAAAGTGGAAATGGGAATAGAAATTAGAAAAAGTGGAATTGGAAGTGGGAATGGAATTACATAATCGACCCCCTGTTTATGATCGGTGACGTCATCTATTGTTTTCTAACAATCTCAGGTACTTAAGGCAGTTCTATTGCTTGACTGAACTAGTCAAAACAATAACCATTTTTTTCTGATTTGATTCACTTTGTAAATTAGAAAGTCTGGCAACTCTGCTTATATTATTATTATTATAGGATTAAAAAATTGTAATATTAATACATATTAATACGTATTAATATAATATAATAAATTAATAATTAAATATAATATTATATTATTTTCAATAATTTATCTTATTTATATACTTTAATTATTTCAAGTAGGTATTGTATGTTTTTTTTTAAATAACGCGCGCTTGAGTATATTCTAACCTCAAAACATTGACGCGCGGAATACCGTGTTGCCAGACGTTGAAAGTTTTGCTCGCTGTATCACAAAAAATAAAAAAAATTTTATAAATTAATTAATTTGAACTCTTACAGGTACCTATTGTCCTTTTTTAAATACAATATCGGTTCATTACATATCTGTGTTTAACTATACAAAATTTGATCAATATCTCTTTGTTTAATAATTTGTAGTATAAAAATAATGAATTCCCATAAGAATCAATGTTAAACAGTGAAAAAATAAAACGAATATAACTTTTTTCTCAAAAACCTAGAGGTCTCAAAAATTTAACTACATAATTTTAGAAGCATTATTTAGTAGTACACCAAGTATTATCAAAATCTGTTTGTTTATTCGATTATCCATAGCACCTCTTTAATACGCTGAGGAACAAACTTCTAATTCAAATTTTAAAATTATTTAAAGAGAATTATTTTTGTTTGCAATTTTTCGTGCTCATGCGTGCTGACCTTATGTGGGTCACTTTGTGCATTAGGAAAAACACCTTATTATAAAATTTTAATATTCCCTTTAAGACAATTTTCTGATTTAGAATCGACAAAAAAAATACACTTTTTTCATACTATTATTGTAAAAAATGAATTGTAAGTCAATCGCCTACTTTAATAGTATTAGTTATAACAAAAATTTTCTTTGAACATTGTTATACATATTACGTGGATTTTGTTCCATAAAAGTTTCTCAAAATAACAGAGGTACATAGAGTAACTGATGATTAATTAAGTTTGATTGACTTAAGACGTTACGTCGATAGCATGGGTTTCTCTTTGACATTTGTGCTTTGAAATTTATTTGACTTTACATTGGAAGTGGATATAAAGAAGATTGGATTGCATCTTTGACGAATGCGTACAAATTCCGTTCACTGACATCCTATTGAAATTGTATAATTTCTTTAATTTAATGAGCTAATAATTTTTTCCCCCTTAAAAAAAGGACAAAAAAATTTTTAATTATTTTCACATCAACAAAATATATAATATTTTTTATTAACTGACAAGACAACTTTATACAGTGATGAATAATAATTTTTCCATCAAAATTTAATCATCACAAATCTGACTTAAATCCCAGTTTAGCAAAGTACACGCGTGTACATATACAAACCAAAGCACAAAGCTTAAATCTCTTTAAGCACGAACGAGAACACAGAGGTTAGTGAAGTATATATAAGTCACGTTCGACAAGTTGTGTGCTCTGAGCGATATCGTCTATAGTGTTGTGTGTTAGAGAGAGACATTGTTACGTGTATATGCATTGGTATATATATATATATATATATATGTATATATATTTGTGTTCAATTTCTATCTGTACATCAAGTACATGTGGTTGTATAACTCAAGCATCAACCGTCTGTGGTTTGCCACATGCACATAAATGCTCGAGTATTGCGAATTGTTCTCCCACCTCCCTTGGATAAATAATCCTGTATATATGTCCATATAGTCATGTATGTGAGTCTGAATTTCTAATATATATTCAAACCACCATGTTCAACATAGACACATCACTGACTTGTTTTAAATAACAAAATGTCCACATATAAAAGTTAAATTCTGTTATTTTAAAAATTTCTTCTAATAAATATTTCCACTAAAACAAAAAACATGAGCCGTGCAGCAATTCTGTTTGTTTTTGTGGTTTTGTTGAATTGTATACATATATAATTGAAATGCAAATGTTACTTTTTCAAACGATTTCATTTCCATTCGATTCTCTGATAATTTGAATTAATAATCATTCGATTTTGAATGTTTAAAAATTCCATCATTTGGTAATTCGATGTTTCAATAAAAATAATTTGGTTATTTGAGTTTTTAATAATTCTTACTTTCGGTGATTTGAGTCATTTATATCTATAGAAAAACTCTCAAAGGTTTTGTTTATTGCGGATTTGAAATCTTATTTATTTCCGAAAATTTTTAAGCAATTTAAAATGCATAAAAAGCGCATTAATCTTTTCCTACAAGCACCTAAAGTTTAGTGATGCTTCTGGCATTATGTCCAAACGAGTAGAGCGAATAAGGGGACTTTGATCTTCCTTCGTTTTTCCGTACATATAAAAAAATATGGTAGCGTGAAGAAGCTCGTAGCTATTTTTTTCGGTTCTATAAACATTAACTTCATAATTACAAAATTTGCTCAAAGCTTAAAAATTTCTGTTCCACTTTTTTTTCTTTTTGCTTTGATTAATAAACGTCAGTATAAGAAATAAATATTGCAATAACGTTTAAATGTTTCCTAATAATTACACTTCATTTGTTATATACACAGTAAAAAGAAGATCTTATTTTTAGATGAGCGCCATATACGTAAATCAGCGCTAGTAGCTATAATGGAAATTGCATTGCGTAAATATAACAAAGCTGCCTTAAAAATGTTGCCTCTTAAAATAAGACCTCTTTTCGGTCTTAAAATAAGACTTTCTTTTTACAGTGTATAATATTGCTCCAATATACGAAAGTAAATTAATTTAGAGATTGATTTTCAAAGAAAAAAGTATAATCTTGCAAATTCGATTTGAATTTTCGAAACTGTGAAATTTATCGGTTTTCTGAGCAGAGAATGTTTTATACTTTTGCATTTTTAGTGGAGACGCGTCTGGTTGGGACAGAACCAATAACATCGTGATTAGGTTACTATCGTTTCCATTCCTTTCCAACTGTACATGCATCTATCTTGATTGTGTGCTTATCAAAATACAATTTTGATTTAATATCGTAAAGCAATAATGATTTGCCATTACGTAAATGTTTCTTTGAAATAATATTTGTTGAAATATTTTTATATTAGCAGATAACTTATGTTCAGGAAATAAAACTCACGTGAAAAGATTACCGGTAAACTCCGCGAAGTAGCTCCGCGGAATTTCCGCAGAGCAGCTCCGCGGATTTTCCGCGAAATTTCCGCAATTTTTTTTTGCATAATAATATATTTATGTTATTATTTAAAGTAATAT